CAACCCTCTTCCCCCCCCCGCACTCCCACACTATTTCACAACCCATCATGACGACCTCCACCATCCCCACCCCCGTCCCACCTATTCCCAAGTCACCTTCGGGGTTTACCTCGCAATGCCACAACTTCCCCCCAACTACCTCCTTGACGGCAACAACCAATTCGATTACACCTGCTACGACACTACCCCCGATAACCTCAACTTCAACACCCTCGCCCGGATCATTTCCCGCGAAGGGGAAATCCCTTGTTCCTTCCGATCCGCCGACATCATGCCCTTTTTCGGCCTTCCCCACGAGGATGTTCCTCTTCCTTACCCAGCTCCAGAACTCTTTCAAGCTCCACCACATGCCCCTTGTCCATCGGCCTCTCATTGCCACCTCCTGCCTCCTCGGCAATGCCCCCGAATGGTGGATGGTCGAAGTCAGCAACCGCCGCGCCGTCGGAGGGCCGCGTCACTCCTTCCTCCAATGGGCCAATCTTCTCACTGCCACCTTTCGCCCCCTGAAACCATCGACGACTACCTCGAACAATTCGGTCACCTTCGCCAGACCGGTCCCACGGACCGCTTCGCCCAATACATCCGCTCCCTCTGCCATCAGCTCCCCACCACCGTCATTCCCGACTTTGCGTTCATCTCCCGCATCAAGCGAGTATGCCACAAAGATCTTGCAACCGCCCTCGCCCACGAACCCGACATGCCCCTTGCTGACCTCCTCTCTCGCATGCTTCACCACGATCGACTCCTCCACCCCCATCACCAGTTCGGGTCCGCTCCCTCCCGCCCTTCGCTTCTTCCATAACATCACCCCTGACGACACCACTCCACCTACCTCCGATGACGACTTCGACACTGCCTCTCTCGACCCCTCCCAATTCACCATCGAGGACCTCCAAGCCGCCCACCTTATGCGGATGGAACACCAAGATCGTGCCTCCCGACCGCCTTCTTCCTCTCCACCTCGCCGTCTTCAGAAACTTACACCCGCATAACGCATATACCTTCAGGAACACAACCGGTGTTTTCGCTGCCGTCCGTCAGGTCACCAACAGACCAACTGCCCCAACGCTAGCCGCTTTACTCGACAGGCCCCTCGCTCCGCGGGACCCGGCGCGTCTACTCCCACTTCTTCCTCCACCGCGACAACCGGGCCCTCCCCCACCTGAACACTGTCCCCCTGTCTCTTGCAATCCTTCCCCGGCATCGACCACTTGTCTGTCGGCTCTCCCATCGGTGATGATCTCTCCTCCACCGGTGGCCCACTTGGCATTGACTATCCGTCTGCCTACCCCCTCTCCGGTGATGCACATCCCATTGGACGACCCCCAAGCAACGCAGTCTACTCCGCCTGCCCCCCTCCCGACGACGTCTGCTATCCCGTCGGTCGAGCTTCCCTCTGGCACCTGCTCTTCTACTCTCATCCCTAACCCCTTCTCTACCATCCTCTCCGATCTCGTTGAGGAACAAGCACGACATGATCGGCTTGTTAGACTCGGCTTGGAACAACGCCGCCTCAACATCATGATCTCTTCTGCTTGTGCCGGAACCGCACAGTTCCAGCTCAAGTTTATCCCCGTCTCCCTTGGCGCATCGACGGTGAAGTTCTGGGCCCTCCTTGATATTGGTGCCACTGGCAACTTCATCACCGAAGCCCGTGTCCGCAAAGTCGGCCCCTCTTCCACCGGCGATGACTCCCCGATCACCATCCGACTAGGGGATAAGGACTTAGCCATCGTTGTCGATCGCACTGTCCCTGAGACCCTCATGACTGCCGGTCCTCTTCGCAGTCAGGTCTCCTTCGATGTCATGCTGCTCATGTGCGACATCGTCTTGGGGACTCCATGGCTTGACCGTTTCTTGCCCTACTCCTTCCACCCCTCCTTCGTCCGACTCACCCGCCCTCCTGACCCTCCTCTTGATATCCCTTGCCTTCTCCCCCCTACTACCCCACCCCCTGTCTCCCCTCACCAGTTCCTTCACATGTCTCGTGAACACCCCGACTCCGCTTACTATTGTTTTGTTATCGACCACGAGCGTCCCGAGGACTTGCTTCCAACGGACAAACCCGACCAAGAACCCCCTTTCGATCCTCACATCACCGCTCTCCTCTCTGAATTCAAGGACGTCTTCCCCGAGTCCTTGCCCGTCGATTTACCTCCCGATCGAGGTGTATCCCACACCATTGATCTCGAGCTCGGCCATTCTCCTCCTTGCTGCCCTCCGTACCAACTCTCTGTCCCCGAGGCCGAAGAAATGAAGCGCCAACGCAATGAACTCCTTGAAAAATGATTCATTAAGCCTAGCTCCTCCCCCTTCGGAACCAGTTGTCTCTTCGTCAAGAAGAACGGCACCTCGGAACTCCGCATGTGCACACACTATCGTGCGTTGAACCGGATCACGATCAAGAGAACAAGTACCCACTGCCCCATGTATTTGAACTTCTTGATCGCCTCCGTGGAGCCAAATATTTCACCAAGATTGACCTTCGCAGTGGCTTCCACCAGATCCGTATCTGCGAGGAGGACACCCACAAGACTGCATTCCGCTCACGGTTCGGGCACTACGAGTTCCTCGTAATGCTTTTCAGACTCACCAATGCCCTCGCCACATTCCAGTTCATCATGAACCACATTTTCCGTGACCTCCTCGAAGTCTGTGTCGTCGTGTACCTTGATGACATCCTAATCTTGAGCCCCACCTTCGAGTCCCACCTTCAGCACATTCGCCAAGTCCTCTCGATCCTCTTAGCAAAAATTATACGCCAAGCTCAACAAAGGTACGTTTGCCGCTTCGAGAGTCGAATACCTTGGCCACATTGTCTCCGCCGAAGGCATCCGTATGGGCCCCTCGAAGGTCACAGCCCTTGTCGAGTACCCCCGCCCAAGACCCTCCTCCAACTCCATTCCTTCCTCGGCCTTGCCAACTATTACCGCCCGTTCATTTGCAACTTTTCCGAGATCTCTTACCCTTTCCACGAAATCACACGCAAGGACGAGCCCTTCAATTGGAACGATCGCTGCCAACACGCTTTCGACTTAAGCAAAACCATCATCACGGCCCCTGTCCTCAAGATCGCCGACCCCACTCGCCATTTCTATGTCACCACTGTACTGTCCCAACTTTTCCCCCGCGACACCGCTGAGACCCCCTCCATCAAGGACTCGCCCACTCACCCCGAGGCTCCACCCGGCGAATACCCCATCGCCTTCGCAAGCAAGAAGCTCCTTTCCGCGGAGATGAATTACCCTTCCAACGAGAAGGAACTCTTCGCCGTGATTCACGCCCTCACAGTCTGGCGCCCGTACCTCGACGGGCAATACTTCACCATCCACACCGACAACATCATCGTTTCTTCCATCCTCACCAAGAAAGACATCACCCCACACCAAGCTCGATGGCTCGACTTCCTTGCCCAGTTCACATTCACCATTTGCCATACCCTCGGCAAAAGCAACCGTGTTGCTGATGCCCTCTCTCGACGACCCGACCACAAGCCCCTCGAGAAAATCTATGCCGCCACGACCCATATCCAGCTCCTCCCATCACCCCATCACCGATACACCCAAGGCTACCTCTCTTGCGCAGACTTTGCCGCCATTTACAACAAGCTCCGCGATCTTGACCCAGTCCCCGACTACTCCCTCCACGACAACCTCCTCTACATCGACACCAAAGGCACTCGCCGACTGTGCATCCCTGACACATGTGGTCTCCGTACCCAGCTCTTGGCCGAGCACCACGATGCCAAGACCGCAGGTCACCTCGGTTTCCAGAAAACCTTTGACACCATCTCCCGCTACTTCTATTGGCCGTCTCTACTCGCCGACATCAAAACATA